AGTCTGAGTCAGGAGGATTGCAAGTTCAAAGCCAGCCTCTGACCAAGCCCCTAAGCAACTTAGCAAGACCCTGTCTCTAAATAAGATATATTTAAAAAGGGCTTGGGAATGTGGTTCAGTTTTTAAGTGCCCCTGGGTTCAATCCCTGGTACCCCTCCCCCCCAAAAAAAGTCTCTTCTAGGGACTCACAGCCTAGTAGAGAAATCAAACGTATAAAACAAAATAATTACCTAAGTGATTGTGATATTTAGGACGTAAAGAAAACACAGAGGAATGAGTAATTAATTCAACCTGGGGGAGACAGGGAACCTCTCAGACAGGAACTGTCATTGAGCTAGATCTTAGCTGATTCTGTTGACTTTTATCCTTTCTATTCTTAGGTCTGCAGTCTATCATCTGAACAATTGTATTAAATAAATGGTCTGTAAATGGTCTTACTGCTTCTTTGCCTTTTGCAGTTCTTGGTTTTCATTCCTTTCTGTGTTGCCCAACTTGCGAATCCTCAGACATAACTTGAGAGGGCTTCCCATTGCTGCATAATCAAGTCTAAATCTACCACGTAGTAGGCAAGCCTAAGTTCAAATCTAGGCTCTGCCAGTTATTAGTGGTATGCTTTGGAGCAGTCATATTTTTCTTTTCTTTTTGCTAGCTTCATTTTTATTTCCTATAAAGTGGGCATAATGCTTTTTCCTTGAGACAAGGAATGGAAAACACAGCCTTAGGCAAGGTGGCCATCTGTAAGCAGGATTGCACAGCATGGTATAAAGAGCCCAGACAGACAGACCTGGCATCAGACAGATCTGGGATCAAATCCTGTTTCTTCACATAGTGTTTGATCTTCTTTTGCAAAATCAGATTAATAATATGTGGCTACTAGTGTTAGAAATCATAGCACAGAATAGAGAAAAAAAAAATATATATATGTATAAATTTTTTTTTGTGGTGCAGGAGATTGAACCCAGGGTGTTGTGCATGCGAGGCAAGCACACTACCAACTGAGCTGTATCTCCAGCCCTAGAATATATATTGTGTATGTGTGATTAATAATGATAGAAAGCACCAACCTCTCATAGGCATTTGACCAATGGAAACAGCTATCATTTATTAATATTTGTAATGTGCTAGATGGAAACGGTTATCCCCCTGCTCTTCTTACTACCTCTGACCTGTGTTGCTGCCCTCTGTTTATCCAAATGCCCCTGCATAATGTACTCGCCGTTCTTAAAATGGCAGTATATTTCATAACTCTAAGGCTTGGTTTTCACTGTTCCAATGGCCTAGGATTCCTTTCCTGTCTTTTTTTTTGGGGGGTGGGGGGGAACTATAATATTAGGACTTTCTCAAATTTATTTCTCCATAGTTTCCATTAGCAATCAGTTCCCTCATTCCTACTCCTGGGCAGAAGCAATCCTTTCTCTTTTTCTTTTATTTTACTTCTCTGTCTTTTCCTTGCAGTGCTGGGGATCAATCCCAGGGCTCTCACATGTTGCAGTTATATAGCTACACCCCTACCCCAGAATCAATCATTTCTTAATCTATTTTTTCCATCTCCTAGGCAGTTATAGCACACGTCAGATTGTATTAGTTACTGTTGTCTGTCTTCACAGCCAAACAGAGGACATCTTTTGTTTTTTGTCTCTCCAGTTTCTAAGACAGTGCTTGGATGTCATAAATTGAGTAGAAGTTTGACATCGTCTAAGCCAGATCAGAGAAGGTGTTGAATGCCAGGTTAAAACTTTACACTGAGGTTGATGAGGAGCCATGGAAGATTTTTAAGCAGGCGTATAACATGATCTTATAGATTTTTCCAGTTTTGAGTGCTCTTGGCAATACCGGGAAAGACTTAGGTGCCTGTTTGTAGCCTGATGTGTGAGGGCCAGGGGGTCTGATCCTCTGATCATATTAACCTTATCCTCCTCTGTGTCCCGTGTTCTTCTTAAGATTGTTTACTGCTTTGACTCATTTCCTTGATTAGAGCATAAGCCTCATAGTTCTTTAATGTACATAACCCTTTCTCCTTGGCACCCCTCCTCACACACACATATCATCCACAGAATGAAGCATATAGTAGCTTTTTCAATAACTCCTGTCCATATGAAATTGAATTGAACTCTGAGGATATAAAATTTAACACAACTAAGAAATGAAAAGTGAAAAATATACAGTGATTTGGGAGGCAGGAGCAACTTAGGGAGGATTTAAGCAATTTAGCCAGACCCTTTCTCAAATAAAAAATAATAATTTTCAAAAAGGTCTGGGGATGTAGTTTAGTGGTTTAATGTCCCTGGTTTTAATCCCTGGTACAAGAATAAAAGTATAACTAATATCTAGAGTGAATAATCTACATGTGGCCCATTGGAAAAAAAGGGGTGAGTCTATATAGTTGAGGTTCATGGGTTGTCCACCAATATATTATTTGAATTTAAAAATTCCTATTATTAGACTTATAATCAAAAGTAAAAATGAGCTGGGTATAGTGGCACATGATTGTAATCCCAGCAACTCCCAAGGCTGAGGCAAAAGGATTACAAGTTCATGGCCAGCCTGGGTAACTCAGCAAGACCCTGGCTCAAAATAATAAGTAAAAAGAGCTGAGGCTGTAGCTCAATGGTGAAGTGCCTCTGGGTTCAATCTCCAGTACTGCCCCCCCAAAAAAGAAAAAAAGTTTACACAGAGAAATAATGAATAGAGAGATAATAAATAATTAATAGGTCCTGTGAGACTAATTCACCCTGGCTAAGGAACAGTTGACCTCTCTCAAGTAAGTGTTTTAATCATTTCTGGTTCTCCTAGTATCAATCCCTGACTTTGGTACTAAATTTGGATCTTGGACTAACCAGAATCAATTCGTAGCGGATTCTGTAATGTTTTGGTGTGAAGCCATACTGTGATCCAGTGGGACAAGCTAGAAAAGGTGAATTGCTTAAGAACCTGGAATCTCTTTTTCTCTTTTTCCCCTTTAACTCTCAGAGTCAGGCTTGATATACCAGGAAAAAGGAAGTGGTACCACCATCATGAATTGTTTCTGTTGGCAGAAAAATAAGGAAGTGGAATGGTTTTCTCTGTAGGCACAGATTTGACAGTCAAGCTCTCTCATGATCACCTCTGGAATGAGCTGGCATGGTTGTTTTATTTGACTGTTGGGAGGGCTTAATGATAAAGGTCATTACAGATTGGGATGTTGGAAATTTTTTTTTTTTTTTTTTTTTAAAGAGAGAGTGAGAGAGAGAGAAAGGGAGAGAGAGAGAATTTTTAAAATATTTATTCTTTAGATTTCGGTGGACACAACATCTTTGTTTGTATGTGATGCTGAGGATCGAACCCGGGCCGCACGCATGCCAGGCGAGCGTGCCACCGCTTGAGCCACATCCCCAGCCCTTGGAAAAATTTTTTAATATTTATTTTTTAGTTGTAGTTGGAAATAATACCTTTATTTTATTTACTTTTATGCGGTGCTGAGGATCGAACCCAGGGCCTTGCACGTGCCAGGCCAGTGCTCTACTCCTGAGCCACAGCCACAGCCCACATGGATCTTTTCTATCACCTTATACTTCTCATGTCCTTTTACACTTGACAACCTCCAACCTACCCAGACAGCCTCTTAGGTGATTTTTTCCTGTAGTTTCCTGTTCTGGAGTTTCATGTAAATGGGATCACACTCATTGTCTGTGTCAGTCAAATTTGCCAGCAGTTTGTTGTCTCCACCACACCCTTAACTTATATTTCTATCCACTGTCCCTTCTTTGTATACATATACTCCTCCACCTTCCTCAACTTCCCGATGAGTGAACTGGCTTTTTTTAAACCAACTCTGAGAAGATATGGTTCCCCAGACTGCATTAACTTGAACTTTCTATATCCTCTGGTATTTCTAAATAAAAAAAAGTTTGAAACATAAAAAGGGCAGCAAATTAAATGCCATTTTCCCCATTTATGCTCCTGGAGGAGTCCTAATGACTGTAGGTTATTCCCTCCCTGCCACATCATTGAGATAATAGGATTTGCAAGAAAGGTATCTGGGAGACACAAGGCTGTGCCCCCCAACCCCCAATCCATTAAGTCAGGACTAAGGTTTCCTCTATAAATTCTGAATGCATTAATGGCAACTGGGTTGAGAGTCAAATGTCAAATACTCTTTAGTGATGGAAGAGGACATCTGTGGCTAATTAGACCACTAATAGGCTAAATGGGATGGGGAAGAGCAGGATCTGCCCACTCGGCTCTGTACCAATGGGAAGCCAACTCTCTGAAGGGGGATGAAAGACACTGAGAAGGTTTGTATACAGTAGGGGCAAGGGATCCTAATCCGTCTTCGCCAGTTCAGCATAAGCAAGCTATTACATAGGGAACTGGCCCTGCTTTTGCTAGAGGGCCAGAGTGAACCAGGGGTGAGATGTCTACCTCTTTTGTTCCCTTTAAGTTTAACCCTTTACTTTGGAGATACAAAGTTACACACCTATACAAACCCACCCATGTTTTTTCCTGCTTTGAATAGCCCACAATTTGCATGAGGATGTTCAAAGGCTTTAATTAATATGCACCTAGATTGGAGGACATTTATTCATTGATCCATGTATTGCATTTGACAAATACTGAGTAACTGCCATGTTTTAATTTGTGGTGCCAAGGACTGCATAGCCCCCAAAGATCAATAACAGTATTGCTTAGCTGAAATCTAACAGGCCCATGAAGTTTATTAATTACATTAACTACAATATGTAATGTCTGTGAGATGGCCAAAGGAAGGATATATACAATGCTTCAGGAATTCCAAGTAGGGAAAGAGTATTTATTTATGGTCTGGAGTACTGTGGAAAGCTTCATGAAGGAGGTACCTTTTGAGCTGTTCCTTATTAGAGGGAGAATTTCAACAGGTGGACATAAGGTTGGGAACTTGAGAAGGGCAGAAATAAAGACAAGGAAGGAATCTGTAGACGGATGGTGGCATTCCACATGATAGCATATTATCTCAAGGACCTCCCTCTTCTTTTGCTTTACAGATCAATGAGCTGAGCAATGTCCCTGTCCCTGTCATGCTAATGCCAGATGACTTCAAAGCCTACAGCAAGATCAAGGTGGATAATCATCTCTTCAATAAGTAAGTTGCTTACTGAGTGGGCTCAAGTTTTATGAGCATTTTTTTCCTTCAAACCTCTGTAGCCTCATGCATGGTGGGCCACGCCAGCACCTGGCAGAGTATAATAGTGCATCTGTCTCAGAGTTGTTAAGCTGGCTGGGAAAATGCATTTGTAATGACATTCTCTCTCCATGGCATTCTCTGGTCAATGCATTTCTTTATCTGACACCTCCAGTGTCTCTTGGGATGTGTGGCTAGGTCCTGGGTGATTCATGGAGGGCTAGCTCTGGAGAGATGAGCGATTTGGGAGCTGGGGTATCTAGTATGTGGCTTCAGTAGTGGCCCTATCTTGATCTTGGTCTGAGGCAGGAATCATCCAGGCATTTTCCTGGCCTGCAGTGAGCCAAGATCTTTTCTCCCTGACTGGTGTGTAAACAACAGGCTAAGCATAGTGCTCAAGGGCACTACCCAAAGTAACGCTTCCTATTTTTGTCCCTTGTAGCTTCTTGGAATATCACCAGTGTCTGAAGGTTGTCTCAGACATTGTTGGAGACCCTTCAGTAGCCATCTCACCTGGTACAGTTGGGAGCCTGCTCTAAGCCCTATTGAGGCCTTGTTTTTTTGTCCTACTGTTTCCCCAGGGACCCTTTGCTATTTACTATGTTCCTTTCTTTATGTCCATCCTGGTTCTATTCTCCTTTGTCCTAAAGCCTTTACCACCTTACCAGGTAGGCTGTCACCCCACTAGTCCCAGACTGTTAGCTCAGAGGAAAAGCTTGATTTCAGAATATCCCTTAGTGGCCTCTCTCTCTTTGCCATCGTTAATAATAATATCTTGTTCTAGAAGCCATCTGTCTTCATAGCTGCCACCTGCTAAGTGGCCACCTAAGGAAGGAGAAGCAGATCTCCACTCAGGTAGAAAAAGAGGTGATTCTGATCTAGAAGCCCAGGGCTCCAGAGGTGGCAGTGTACCACCAGCCATTTCAGGATCCAGTCCTCTGATCAGTCTAAGGAGTGGAAAGGGTATAGATTGGTGCCAGAAGTCAGCAAACATGGCTTTAAAAGATGGGATCCCAGTTAACTGAGCGGGCATCTCTTCATACCTCACTTTTTCCTACATCCCAGTAGAAGCCCAGGGCAGGATGTCTTGAATACCCATTCAGGATGTTTCAGTAGGAACATCCCCAGAGGAGAGAGGCCTTTGGTGAGAGGAGTCTTTCCCTCTAGACTGATATTGCCTCACAGCAGAAGTTCACATGCTGTGACCTGCGGTAGCACTTACAGTGCCTGTGAGGTACGCCCTACACACAGTCTCACTTCACAGGGCTAGTTTTTTTTTTCTCCTTTAAATTTTATTGAAGGACACATACAGAAAAGTACACAAGCCATAAGTATATGACTATATTAATATTTACAAAGTGAATAGAGACGTAACTTTTTTTTGTTGTTTTGAGACAGGGTTTTGCAAAGTTTGCTTCAAACTATTCATCCTCCTGCCTCAGCTTCCGAAGTAGCTGGGGTTATAGGTGTGTACCACTGGGCCTGGCTTAGGTGTAAAAATTTTAAGTTTATACATGCTTAGAATCACCAGCAGTGTTTATTAAAAATGCAGATTTCCAGACTTACCTCCAGAGTTCCTAGGACCTAGAAATCAGCATTTAAGCATGAAAGATTGTTCAGGTTGGGGCAGTCTGTGGGCCACAATTTGAGGAGTTCTGATGTCAGAATGAAGCTGAGTGATGCTCTACTTTCCCTAGGGAGAACCTCCCCAGCCGCTTTAAGTTTAAGGAGTACTGCCCGATGGTGTTCCGAAATCTCCGTGAGAGGTTTGGGATTGATGATCAGGATTACCAGGTACGGGCTGTCTAGTAAAACCTGGAAGGTTTGGGAATGGAGTGGGGTCAGGAAGCCACAGGACAAATAGAGGAAAAAGCATCAGCCGTCCATGTGTCCCCCCTGTCACATCTTATTCTAGTTCATGCAGTCTTTCCCAGGACTGCTGGGCTCTTGGAGGGACAGGGGCTTTAGATGTGCTTCTGAGGATGCCTCAGCTCACGTTCCTGTCCCTGGGAGGGTGAATAGTGGGAGGGAGAGGGATGTGTGGAAGCTGCTTCATTTCAGTCTGACATTCCCAGTCTAGGCTGAAGAACCCTCTCCTCGTAGTTTGACTTAAGAGAGAGAATTGTTGCCAGCGAGAGATGAGGCCTCTTAAAGCAGATAAGACAGATTAGAAAAGGAAGACTTCAAGGGTAGTGTAACCTCTTCCCAGGTATGAGTGTCACCTCTTAAACTTGTCCCCTATCCTGGTGGTGGGAGTGGGGTAGGCATATCAGGGCAACTGCCCTTTTCAGGGGCGATACTGTCTTAGAAGCCTGTTGAGAGGAATCAGTCCCAAAATCAGAACATGATAGTCTGACTCAGAGTCCATTCAGTCTGGCTTCAGTCCCTTCTATACCTTGCCCTTCTCTTTGGACCTTCTTCCCCTAGCAGATAGCCTAGAGGTAAAGGTGGGAGAATTTTTCACTTCACCTTATAGTTTTCAAAACATAGCTGACTTTCAATCATTTGTGGTGGAAAAAGGGGAGTGTACACGCACAGTAAAATCTAAAACGGATGCCTACTCAATCCTAGTAAGCCACTCAATCCCAGTAAGCCTTTCACAAAGTTCACAGGAGCAGAGTGGGCCTCAGGCACAAATGTCCCTCCCTGCCTTCACTCTGAGGGCCTGCTATAGACACGATATCCTGACTAGGAGGCTGAGGGTATGTGAAAGGAGGAGGAGATCTCAGGGCTTTGAGCACCCAGGAATGTCCACATCTAAGAAGTACTGTGAGGTCCCTCCATCCGCCTCTGCTAGGATCAGACCCTGAAGTAAATCATGACCTGTCTGGAGCCTGAGGTTTTCTAAAAACTTCTTGCCATTGTTGGAACCCCAAATTGCTGGGACGCCTTCTTTCTCCTTTGGTTCCTTCCTCGTCCCTGGACTATCTCACCACATCATCCCATGTCTGCATTTTTCCTCTAAAAGCCTGATGGGCACATGACTGTTCAAGACTGAAATGAGGGCAGCAGGGCTGACATTCTGGGCAGGGCCTCTGCTCATGGGCTACCAGTGATTTAGTGGGAAGAAGCTGCCTGGACCTAAGGCAGGCAGAACTGCACCTCCACCTGGGCTCACAGCTGCAAGTCTTAATTGGCAGAGGCACAGGCATGGAGAGAGGTCACTCATTCATGCAGCCTGCTCAGCATTTCTTGGTTGGGGATGTCCTATTTCTGGGGAGCTCCTTTAATTTAGCATCTTTTCCAAGGAACATAGAGAGCCCATCAACCCTTCAGACTTAGTTTCTTCCATGAAGATGGCGCTTATCCCCCCCCCCATGTTTTTTTAATGTTTTTTTATAGTAGATGGACACAATACCTTTATTTTATTTTTATGTGGTGTTAAGGATCAAACCCACACATGCTAGGCAAGTGCTCTACCAACTGAGCTATAATCCCAGCCCCCCATATGGTTTTTTGAGGAGTCATTGGGTGACAGTAGAAAGTAGAATCCTCAGTAAGAGATAAGGCAGGGATCTGGAAAGGAGGCACTTCTATGAGTGGATCTCCATGTTCTTGGGAACAACTGGGGTCTCCCCTCAGCCTTGTCTCCCAGGGGTCTACTGTGTGAACACATGGCTTTTGGTCAACTCACATAGTCCCCCATCTCTCCTGCTCTCTGATCCTAGTGGGGACTTGAGATTGAGTAGGGGCAGAGCCAGAAAGTCTACCAGAACTGCCTTCCAGTCATTCACAGAAGAGCAGGAAGCTGAGATGAGGGGGCAGGTTGATGACCAAAAGTTGAGGATCAGCCTCCCATTTTGGGAAGGGTTTTTGAGCCTCAGGGTTAATACAGGGAAAAGAGGTGACTGTGTCCATTGTGTCCTTATGCTAGGCCCGTTGCGTTTTTCCTAAGCTTGGTCTTTGTCACTCAAGAGATTGGAGAAATCCACTCGATCTGCCTCCTAGTGTTTCAGTTGAGGAAACTCAGGGTGAAGTATGGCTCACCTAAGGTAATATGGTTTATAGGGTCAGGATTAGAATCAGCCCCCTCAAATCTGAGGCTGTTTTAGTTTGTAGGCTAGCTCTCTAGGATCAAGATGAAATGACACTTCATAGTCCTCTTTCTATTCTAGTCTAAGATCAGGGGCAGATTGTAAGGGTCAATTTATCATTGTAGAGGAAGATTCTAGGAAGGGTTATGAATACCTCAAGAACAAAGAGGTGGATAAGGTCCCATCTGGGAACGCTCTGTTGTAATATTTTTGACATTTGAACAGTCCAGCCCATCAGAGAAGATTCAGAATCAAAGTCAGAATCCTAGGACTATAGTGTAGCTTGCCTAGCATGTGAAAGGCTCTGGGTTCATCTCCAGTACTGCAGAAAGAAAGAAGAAGAAGAAAAGAATCTTTATGCCTTTTTCCAAAACCAGCTGCTTTTGTCTTGGGCTCTCAGAACTCAGTGACACGCAGTGCACCCATCAACAGTGACAGCCAGGGCCGGTGTGGTACGCGTTTCCTTACCACCTATGACCGACGCTTTGTCATCAAGACTGTGTCAAGTGAGGATGTGGCTGAGATGCACAACATCTTAAAGAAATACCACCAGGTATGGTGAGTCCCAAGCCTGGGCAGTGGAGAATGGGTTAGAAGAAGGAGAGGGGACCCCTGGTGGGCTTCTCAGGGACCCGGGCCATGTCCTCTCTAGTAGTGGCAAATGCTTCCTGATAACCAAGCAGTAGCTTCTCCCTGTTTCTGTGAGGTGAAATGCCAATTTTATTTTTTATGGTGCTGGGAATTGAACTCAGGGCCTCGCGCATGCCAGGCAAAGGCTTTAACCACTGAGCCACAGCCCCAGCCCATGAAAAGGAGCCACAAAGGCATGTTGCTGACTCAGTCCCAGTTGAACAGCTTTTTGTTGTCTGAGTTGGAGAGTTTTCATCCTCTGGCATCTGCCTTGCTTCTTCTGAAAGAGGTGGGGCAGCAGGGTTGATTCCTTCCCATTCCATCTTTCCACTCCTCTGGAACCTGCCCAGGGAGAAAGCAGGGAGTACTGTGGTGCCATGTGGGTGCCTGTCCTAAGCCTGCCTGGGCCTTCTCTCTGTGACACCAGAAGAGTGGTGAAGGGAACTCTGGTCTTTGGGGGGTTTCAGCAATGAGAGCTTTGGGTGGGACCACTCTGTTCTCCCAGACGCTGGGTCCCATCCCTACCTCTGCAGCTCCTCTCTGCCCTTTGGCCTTCCTACGTTAGGCTGACAGAGGAGAGCAAGTCCTGGATCCATGATTGTCCTACTGTGTAATCCTATTGCAAACAAAATCTTAGGTGGCGGGCTGGGGATATAGCAAAGTTGGTAGAGAGAATGCTTGCCTTGCGTGCAAAAGGCCCTGGCTTCGATCCCCAACACCACAAAAAAAAATCTTAGGTGGTCTCCTGGAGGGACTCTGCACTGCCTGCTCAACTAACCTCACTCTGCCATGCCAGGTGGATGTGGGGTGGCTGTCGCCTGTTGTAAGTCTGAGCAACCCCTATTATTTCACAGAACTCACTTGAAAAAACCACTAGTCTAGAAGTAGAATCCAGGGAGCTGGGGAACATTTTAGCCTGGTAGAGCCCCATCCATGCTCGGCACCTTCATGTTCCTTAACCTTCCCTGTCTTCCTGCTTCCCATTCTAGTTCATAGTGGAGTGTCATGGTAACACCCTTCTGCCACAGTTCCTGGGCATGTACCGCCTGACTGTGGACGGCGTGGAAACATACATGGTGGTCACGAGGAATGTGTTTAGCCATCGTCTCACTGTACACCGCAAGTATGACCTCAAGGTAAAGGGCTCTGTGTTTCCCAGCAGTGTGGTCACCTTATGTCTGAGGCTGTGAGAGGCCATTGCTCTGACTTCTGCCTAGTTGGGAAAGCTAGAGCACATGCACTGGCATGACAAGTGACTTGGGAGTTGATGTGCCTGCTTCTTACAGACCATTCTTACTTGAGGTCCAGATGACAGTGACAAATGTACCATATGTACATAACAATAGATACTCTTCAACTCCTGTCTGTGAATTGTGCACACCCAGGGTAGCAGAGCAGGGACAGGCCATGCTGATGCTCATACTCTGACATCTGTACAGGCCCTGTGGAGTGACAGTGCAAGTCCATTTCTAAGCTTTGAGAAGGATGCACTTGGGGCTGTGAACCAGGGTGCTCCACTGTTCTTGAACCAGGCTTCCTGACTTCTGTCACCTCATACTGCTGTCCCCTCCCTCTGCTGCAGCCACACTGATTTTCTTTGCATCCCTGCAGTGCCTATGCTCCTTCCCATTCCAGGATTCTACATATACTGCCTGAATAGGTTCCCTCTCAGCAGCCCTGCCCTTCCCCCACATTAGGGCTGCCTAAACTTAGCTTCAATTCACATGCTGCTGCTTCCAGCAAGTAGGCCCTGGCCACTGCTCCTCCCCATTCCAGGAGCATCCCCTGCATTACATGCTCTCATAGTGTCAGAGTGTCTCCTCCCCATACCACTTAGCACCATTATAATGAATTGATGAATTGTGTACTCACTGTTTAATGTCCATGTCCCCTGTTAGACTGAAAGTTCTGTAACTGTAGTCAGAGCTCTGTAAGTGGGCTATGCTGAGTGAGTGGACAAGTTGCTGCCTCCTGGCCCCTCTAGGGTACTAACCAGCCTACTTCCATTCACCTGCCAGCTCTCCCCAAACTCTAGTGCATGTTTGTCTGCTCAAAGGAGTTTGCCTCTGCTGAACTTCTCCTGATGGCTCTTATCCTTTCAGGGTTCTACTGTTGCCAGAGAAGCAAGTGACAAAGAGAAGGTATGCTGGCGCTGAGCAAATGTGGAAGGGTTGCTTGGAATCAGAAACACCTTCTGTTGGCCATCTTGTCCCTCCCACATGCAGCTGTTCACCAGTACATTTCTGTTACTAAGCACCTGCTTGACCTTGGTATAGGCCTCAGTCTCCAGCCTTTTACTTCTGCTCTCTCTGGGTTCTTTATGGTCTTGCCGGGATGGAGACGGTTTACATGTTATAGTTCAGCAAGAGTCATTCTGAGCTCTGGCATAGTCCAGGTTCAGCATGAAAGGATCCTTTGGTCAGTCCTCATTGTCTGACATATGCCACATATTTGCCATTCCTGCCTATCCAAAGCCTGGGCCTGTAGGCTCCTGTGCTGCTAATGAGCAAACTGTGCATCTTGTGTTAAAAAGAAACCCCTTCCCTTTGCACACACTGCTCTCAGCAGAACAGCTCGTTCTCCCTGGGGCAAGTGAGTGAGCCCACCTAACCTAATGCTGCTGTTGCTCTCCAGGCCAAGGACTTGCCAACATTCAAAGATAATGACTTCCTCAATGAAGGACAGAAGCTGCATGTGGGAGAAGAGAGTAAAAAGAACTTCCTGGAGAAACTGAAGCGGGATGTTGAGGTACTTCCTAAGCCTTGTCTTCACCATGACTAGACAGGGTCCCTCGTTTACTCAGAATAGGAGCCTGTTCAGCCCTCAGAAAAATAGAATTCACCCCTTTCCAGGAGCACAGACAAAAGAAAGGTGGTGATGTGAGCAGTGTAGGCAAATGTTTGCACCTAAAGGTTGTGCCTGTGGACAATTATTGGAAACCTACCATTTGTGCTGTGAAATGTTGGGAATGCTTTTCCCTGTCTCTCTCTGTCCCCATCTTCAAACTCACCTTCTGGTGGTGTCCCCATAGTAGAAAGGGCATCTAGCATTAGAACAGTGGAAACCAGCTGTTAAGATACACCACCATCAGGGTTGTGGCTCAGCAGTAGAGCACTCGCCTAGCACACATGAGGCACTGGGTTTGATCCTCATCACCACATGAAAAAAAAAAAAAAATCTGTTTCATAAACAACTGAAAAAAAAAAAATGATCCATCAACCAGATCTAAGAGTAGTGTAGTGGTGCACACCTATAATCCCAGTGACTCAGGAGGCTGAGGCAGCAGGAGGATCACAAGTTCAAGGGCAACCTTGGCAATTAAGTGAGACTCTATTTGTTGTTATAGCTCAGTACTAGAGCATCTCTGGGTTCAGTCCCCCTAGTCCTACCCCCCACTCCCCAACACACACACACAAAGAGGCTGTCTCTGGTTCTGATTCCCTACCTCCCCAGCTACTCCTAATTTTAACAGGACTTCCAGTGGAGGAATTCCTCCAGTGGAGCCACGTGCTCAAAACTGATTCTGTTGTCTGGACCACAATAACACATAGTGCCTCCTCTGTGGATTTTTTTGTTTTGTTGTTGTTGTTGTTTTTGTGGAGCTGGGGATCAGACCCAGGGCCTTGAACATGCTAAGCAAGTGCTTTACCACTGAGCTATATTCCCGTCTTTTGGTGGATGCTTGCTGTAATAGAGTCTTCCAGATAATTTCCCTTTTATTGCTTTTTTTTTTCCTTTTTTTAAGAGAGAGAGAGAGAGAGAATTTTTTATTATTTATTCTTTAGTTTTCGGTGGGCACAACATCTTTATTTGTATGTGGTGCTGAGGATCGAACCCAGGCCGCACGCATACCAGGCGAGCGCGCTACCACTTGAGCCACATCTCCAGCCCTTATTGCTTTATTTTGAGATAGGGTCTCACTAAGTTTGTTGCTATAAACTTTATTTTATTTTGTTTTATTTTTTTGTACTGGGGATTGAATCCAGGGTTGCTTAACCACTGGGCCACCTCCTCAGTCCCTTTTTTATTTTATTTAGAGACAGGGTCTTGCTAAGTTGCTGAGGCTAGCCTTGAACTTGCGATTCTCCTGCCTCAGCCTCTCGAGCTGATGGGATTACGGGTGTGTGCCACTGCACCTGGCTGGTTGTTATAAACTTTGTAAAAGTTAAAGGTGCATACTTGTCATCCTAGTGATATGGGAGGCTTGGGCAGAAGGATCATAAGTTCAAGGCCAAACTCAGCATGTAGTGATAATCTGCCTCACAATTAAAAACAACAACAACAAAAATGTCTGAAGATGTCACCTAGTGGTAGAACACCCCTGAATTCAATCCCCAGTACCACCAAAACAAAACAAAAACAAACAAACCAACCTTTTTTTATTGTCATAAAACACTCATAGGGGCTGGGGTTGTGGCTCAGTGGTAGACTGTAGTATGCATGAGGCACTGGATTCAATCCTCAGCACCACATAAATATAAAGATATTGTGTCAACCTAAAACTAAAAAATAAATATTTAAAAAAAAAAACCACTTATAGATAGTCCCTTGCTTATGGTGGTTTTCGTATTGGTGCAAAAGTGAAATGCACTCAGGAGAAACCATGTTTTGATGTTTGGCCTTTGCTCTTTTCCTGGGCTAGCAGCGTGCAATAGGTTACTCTCTTGTTTTGTTGGGCAACAATAGTGAGCTCAGATTCCCACACAGTCATGCAGTATGAGCATAAACAGCTGATAGTTTGTAGTGTATGATATAGTATTTAATAAATTACATGAGCTCTTCTGACACTTAATATGACCTTTGTATTAAATGATTAAGTCACACTTAATTGCTAATGTAAGTGTTCTGGGCATGTTTGAGGTAGGTGAGGCTAAGATATAATGTCTAGTAGGTTAGCTGTATTAAATGTACTTTTGACTTAGATATTTTTAACCTGTGATGGGTTTCCTGGATTATTCCATTGTAATTAAGGAGCATCTGTATAATAATATTCATCATCTTAATTGTTTTTAAGTGTATAGCTTATTGGCATCAAGCATACTGACGTTGCTCTGCAAACATTTCCACCATTCCATCTGAGGATTTTTTCATCTTCCCCAGCTGAAACTGTGTCCCCATTAAACACTGACTCCCAATTCTCTCCTTCCTCAAGCCACTGGGAAACAGCATTCTCCTTTCTGTCTCTATGAAATCGATTACTTAAGAACTTCATATAAGTAGAATCATACAATATTTGTCCTTTCGTGACTGCTTTATTTCATTTAGCATAATGTCTTCAAGGTTCATCCATGTTGTAGCATGTATCTGAACTTCTTTTTTAAGGCTAAATAATATTCAACTGTGTTATATACCACATTTTGTTTATCCATTCATCTGTTGGTGGACACTGGTGTGTTAGGGTCTTCCAGAGAAGCAATCAGTAAGATTTATTATAGATCTCTTTATAAAAAGAGATTTATTATGAGGAATAGGCGCATGTGATGATGGCAACTGACAAGATTTATAGTTGGCAAGCTGATTATAGCCAGGAGATGGGTGAAAATGGTGGTTAGCTCTGTCATTCTTACGTGGTGTTCCCTTTTCTTTCTCTCCATTTTTACCTTGAGTTCAAAAGCCAGGAGGAAGTCAGGCAGGGGTTCCCTCTTGCTCATGGGAAGAGTCTGTCAGCCTTTTTATTCTATTCAGACCTTTACCTGATTGGATGAAGTGTGAAAGTCTACACTGGATAGAGCAATCTGCTTTATGCAGTTTACTGGTCCAAATGTTAATGTCATCCAGAAACATGCTCACAGACTCTCCAAAATTAATGCTTTGACCAAATGTCCAGTCCAGGTCACTGGGTACACAAGTTGACACAAAACTGCCCATCATGCTGGGCATGTTGGCACATGCCTGTAATTCCAGCAGCTTGGTAGGCTGAGACTAGAAGATCTTAAATTCAAGACCAGCCTCAGTAGTTTATTGAGAACTTGTCTCAATATTTAAAAAGGGCTGGCGATATAGCTCAGTAAATTGCCCCTGAGTTGAATCTCCAGTACCTGTCCCCCAAAAGAAAACTGGCCATCATACTTAGATTGGTTCAACCTTGTAGCTATTGTGAATAATGCTACTGTGAATATGGGTTTAATAACCTTTTTGCTAGGAAGCTTTTCCTTACCCTCATATGTTTGTTCCTTCATTCTGTCTTTTATGCTCTGATAACTCAGTTTGTTCTGAGTCTTTTTTCAACTCTTTCCTGGTTCTAATATGAATTTAAGGCAGTTTACTCAGCTAATTTGTTTTCAGTGCATGTTGCTCAGTGCCTGTTGCTCTGTGATTATTCTTTGGTGGTTGGGGGTGGTGTTCATGGATTCTGTCCTTCTTGGAACCCTTGCTCCTCCTTTCCCTAGTCTTGAGAAGACCTTGTCCAGGGGTGCTGTGGTCATGCCACCTATTGATCTTATACTAAGGAGATTCTGCTGATCTCCCAGCCTTGGGGCTTCTTGTGCTTTGGGTTGTGTTCCAGACTGTGCTTGGAGCCATTCTAGTTCTCTGAAGGTGCTCCTCCTAGACCCCTAGCACAGTGGTTGGTCTGACAGTTTCCTGGTGCTGCAGGCTGTTTGTAACCATGGCACAGTACCTGGCACATGTCTGATGGTGACTAGACTCTCATTCTTGGCTGATTTGGAATGCCGGCTGGCCAGTTCCATCCGGTGTTATTCCCACAAGCTTTGTTATTCTCAAGCTATGAAAACCTAAACGAAGAACTGAAGACACCATCCTGCTCACAGCACTCATTGTGCACATGAGGAAACTGAGATATGGCAAGGGGAGGCCTATGGTACCAGGGGCGGGTCCAGGATTCTCCCCCAGCTCCACACAGCCGGGCCTGCCTGCAGGAAATGGGTGAGAATGGTGGTTGGCTCTGTCATTCTTATGTGGTGTTCCTTTTTCTTTCTCTCCATTTTTACCTTGACTGGTAAAGAAGCCAAATTGTATAGTTTTTCAAACTTTGCCTGTTACCCCCCGTTAGAAGTACCTTTTATTGTAGCCAACAAAGTACACACACATACAACTGGAGCACCAGCTGCTCTTTTTTTTTCCTCTTTCTGTATTTTTTTATTGGTTCTTTATAGTTGTGCATAATGATGGAATTTGTTGTTATATATTCATACGTGGACACACTATAACAACATAATTTGGCCAGTGTCACTTTCTAGCACTTCCCTGCTCCCTCCCTTCCTTCTACTTCCTGGTCCCTTTCCTCTACTGATCTCCCTTTGATTTTCATGAGATTCCCACCCCCATCTCCACCCCCACCCCCGCATTTCCTTTTCCTCTCTAACTTCCATAAGAGAAAACATACAATCCTTGACTTTTGAGGAGTTTGGCTTATTTGGCTTAACATATGGTCTCTGGTTCTATCTATTTTCCTGCAAATAACATAAATTTCATTTTTCTTTACAACTGAATGAAACTCCATTGTGTATATATACCACATTTTCTTTATCCATTCACCCATTAATGGACAAATACACTGGTTCCAGAGTTTGGCTATTGAGAATTGAGTTGCTCTAAACATGGGTATGTATCGAGCACTACAGTATGAAGACTTTGATCCCTTAGGATACATTCCAAGGAGTAGTATAGCCGAGTCGTATGGTGGTCCCATGCCTAGTCTTGAGGAACCTCCCTACTTTTCCGTAGTGGTTGTACTAATTTATGATACCACCAACAGTGGAAAAGTATTCCTTTTTCTCCACATCATCTCTAGCATTTATTATTGTTTGTATTCTTATGACTGTCACTCTAACTGGTGTGAAATGAAATCTACTGTAGTTTTGATTTGCATTTCTCTGATTGCTAATTATGTTAAATATTTTTTCATATATTTGTTGCCATATGTATTTCCTCTTTTAAAAGTGTTTGTTTAATTTATTTTTCCTTTTATTAGTTAGGTTATTTGGGTTTTGGTGTTAAATTTTTCACTTTTTTATATGTTCTAGATATTACTCCTCTGACATAAGAGTAGCTAGCAAAATTTTTCTTCAATTTTCTCTACTTCTTTCATTCCTCTCTTTACAGTCCTAATTATTTGCTGTGCAGAAGCTTTTTAATTTGATGCCATCCCATTTGTTAACTTGTTAACTATTGGTGTTATTTCCTGATCTTTGTGGTCCCACTGTCTCTCTATTTTTTTTTTGGTACCGGGGATTGAACCCAGAAGCACTTAACCTCTGAGCCACATCCCCAGCCCTTTATTATATTCTATTTAGAGACAAGGTCTCACTGAGTTGCTTAGGGCCTCACTAAGCTGCTGAGGCTGGCTTTGAACTCGTGATCCTCCTGCCTCAGCCTTCCAAGCTGCTGGGATTACAGGCATGTGTCACTGTGCCCCACACTATCTACTCTTATTTCATGTTATGCAGGCTGATACACACACACACACACACACACACACACATATTTAGTTGTAGATGGTTACAATACCTTTGTTTTATTTATTTATTTTATGTGGTGTCGAGGATCGAACCCTGTGCCTCACACCAAGTGTACTACTACTGACCCACAACTGCAGCTGCATGCTGATATTTTTTATTCTGTTTTATCTTATTTAATAATTTTTGGTGGGATACTGGGGATTGAACCCAGGGGCACTTGACCACTGAGCCACATCCCCAGCCCTATTTTGTATTTTATTTAGAGACAGGGTCTTACTGCCTTGCTTTTGCTGAGGCTGGCTTTGAACTCATAATCCTCGTGCCTCAGCCTCCCAAGCCACTGGGATTACAGGTGTGTGCCACTGCACCTGGCTTATTTCATAATTTTTTTAAAAAAATATTTTCTTAGTTGTCAATGGACCTTTATTTTATTTATTATTATGTGGTGCTGAGAATCGAACTCAGTGCCTCATACATGCTAGGCAAGCGCTCTACCACTGAGCCCCAACCCCAGCCCCTTATTTTATAATTTTTAAAAAGTCCTAGTTCCAGCCCACTACATTGGGTTCATAATGGGTCGAGACTCGTAATGAGAGCTGCACTTGAAAGACTCTGCTGTGTTTCATCTGCCTCTCTAGCCTCTTTCATAGTGTAGCACACTATGAAAGTAGTAGTGTAGCACACATTTTTTTCAACTCATGGCCTCAGTGGGTCCCAAATCATCTGGACTACTACTTCATTCTGCAGCCTTAGTGCCTTTCCTCAAGGAAGCCTTCTAGCCCTTGCTGTCAGTTTCCACACCTCTTTGCCCCTGTGGGATAGCCATCCCTGTTAAACATGAGCTCACCAGGGCAGAGTCAGTGTCTATTTCATAACCGTGTGTAGAATTGAGTTGAAAGAAACCCTTTTTCCCCCTTTCCAGATGCCATTGGGATGGCCTGTGTAACACCTTCCATCTTTCTGTCCCTCCCTAGTTCCTGGCCCAGCTAAAGATCATGGACTACAGCCTGCTGGTAGGCATCCATGATGTGGACCGGGCTGAGCAGGAGGAGATGGAAGTGGAGGAGCGGGCAGAGGACGAGGAATGTGAGAACGACGGGGCGGGCAGCAACCTGCTCTGCTCCTATGGCACACCTCCGGATAGCCCTGGCAACCTCCTCAGCTTTCCCCGGTTCTTTGGTCCTGGGGAGTTCGACCCCTCTGTTGATGTCTATGCCATGAAAAGCCACGAAAGTAAGTAGGAGCCTATGCTGGCCTGCCCGCTTTCCCCTCTAGGGCAAGACGTCTGGGCAGTGGTGGTGGATATCCACCTTCACCTCATTAACTTGAGGCCGACTTTGGCCTCTTTCTGCTTGAAGACTTCTTTAGCGGTCACCCACAGGAATTTGGGTCTTAGGGTTCTATTTGTCAGGCCTGCCTTCCCCTCTGCACTGGTCCTGAGTGACCGAGGCATGCCCTGCTCTGGCCATAGGATGGACAGACCTTAAGCATACTGAGTAGAGCCAGGACATGAGACATGTGAACTGCTTCCTGAGGTGGCCTGCCCAGTCTGGGGGGCTGGTATTCATCTCTGATGCTAAGTAAGAGGTCCCTATGGGGTGGCTGTGAGGATCAAATAAGATTAGAATGTGAAAGCTTCTGAGAAGGACCCATTGGTCTCTTCGTCAAAGTGATAGGGATAATGTGAACCTCAATTGAAGGATCATGGGTGTGCCCCAGAGGCTCTTGGCTCTTCTCCCTACCACTTCTTCCTCCTTTCCTGCTTCTACTCACATTTCAGGTGCCCCCAAAAAGGAGGTCTATTTCATGGCCATCATTGACATCCTCACACCATATGATGCTAAGAAGAAAGCTGCACACGCTGCCAAAACAGTGAAGCATGGGGTGAGCGCTCTCTTTCTTCCTCCAGGGCCAGCCCAGTGGGATACATCTGTACTCACCCTTGGACCCCCAGGAGGAGACCTTGGGCCTTCTGCTCTAGAAAGTGCTCTTCCACCCCATTCCTTCCCAGCACAGAGCTCCCTTGCCTTGTGTCCCCTGCCCATCCATACCCCACCCCCACCTGCCAGTCTGGGTAATAAACACAACTTGTTTTTTCTCCAGTTCTCTGGCCCTCTGGGCCCTGAGCCCGCCAGCTTCTTTCCCTGGGGGCTGCCGGGCATGTTGTGCATCTTGTTGAATGGCCAGGAATAGCTTTGTTTACATGCCCACACTGCTCCCCATTGGCCTGTTTCCCCACAGCTTGAGCTACTGTTCTCCACACAGGGCCCCCCACAGAGAACCAGGCCTTCTCTGCCACCTCCCCAGTGCCTTTTTTCTACTTCACTGCAGACCTGAGTGTGTAAATTAGAGGAGTGGAGCCAGGGACGTGACACTTTGAACTGCTTCCTGAGGTGGCCTGCCCGGTCTGAAGACCTGGCTCCTCCCAGATGCAGCCTCCTGGTTAAGGATAAGGAACTGACCTGAATGGGCCTCTTGTGTGTTACAGGCAGGGGCCGAGATCTCGACTGTGAACCCTGAGCAGTACTCCAAACGCTTCAACGAGTTCATGTCCAACATCCTGACGTAGTTTTCTTCTGCCTTCAGCCAGAGCCAGAGAGCTGGATATGGGATCGGGGATTGGAGAGGGAGAGGATATTTTGGGGCTAGATGGGAGGATAGGGAACAGAGTGGGGGGCCTGGAAGGCTTTAGTATTGAGACTGTAGCCTGTGACACTGAGAGCAGCTTTAGCTAGGGAAGAGGGGGATGTGCTGTGTATGCACATGCTCACAGGACATAACCTCACCTTCTGCTTACCCTTGATTTTTTTTCCCCATTTGACCCAGGTTACAAAGGTGTTCCCTTTGGTATCTTGTGACTTGGTGGGTTTATTTGGGCTTTGTTTCTGAAATTTCATTGCTCACCTTAGCCACCTTCCCATCCCTGCCCGGCTCTCAGTTTCCTTCAATTAAAGAGGCACCTGGTAGGCCCAGCACAGAGGTCTGCTCCGAGCAGGGTGCACTGACACCAGCAAGGAGAAGAGGTCAGACACCTCGCCCTGCTGCATTTGATCTTACTTGGATTAACTTTTTAATTTTATAGAGTATTGTGCATAATTTCTTCTACCTTTCTACCTTGGATCCAAGTGAAATGTTACGTTTTTACTCCTCCATTCTATCCTCCAGTGCTGTCCTCCCAAAGGAGCACTGCAGGCCAATGCCTGACATCTTGGATCAGAGTTGGAGACCTCCAAGGGGAACAGGTCCATCCTCATGGGATGGTAATGGGTGAGGGAGCTGCTGGGCTCTTGGACAGCTGGTTCTCAGAGAACCCTGTGGTCATCATCCAAGTCCCAGGCTCGCTTGGTCCCTGGAGTTGAGATATTCTGTCAAGCCTGCTTCATTGGCTCAAGAGGACCTAGAAAGCACCTTTGGATATAACAGAACTCTCGTGTTTAAATGGGAACTTCCTTTGGGAAGACCCCCCAAACTGATGTATGTCAAATAAGGTCTTGTGAGCCTCATCTGTTCCTTCCTACTGACCTCCAGGCGCTCTCACCTGTGGTTGGCTTGTCACCGAGGACAGAACTCCGAGAACCTGGGTGCTCTTTGCAGAGACACCTCTTTAAGCCTCAGGCCCACCATGTAGATGTCTGGCTCTCTGTACTCATGGTTTTTCACCTGGACGGTTATAGCAAGCAAGGTGCCCACAACAAGGAGTGTGGCATCCGAAACTGAGGTTGCTTCTGAGTCACTTGAGGATGTGACTCAGGAAATCCAACTTGAAAACCTGAGTGGGGTTTGACCCAGCTCCAGCATTGGGGCTGTTTTTCTTTTATTGCCTCTCTCTAAACCTGTGGCTCACAAGACTCTGGAAGAAGTGGCATCCTGCAGCTTCCTTCAGGATTTCCATCCAGTCTCACAGCCTGCCTCCCAGGCTCTCAGAAGTGAGCCACACCTGTTTTGTTACCATCAGTAGCTGGTCGCCAGGAGGGAAATGGCTCCATTGTTCCATGTTGGAGGTGGTACATTCCTATATCATCCCACCCCCTCACCAATAATTGGGAACTTGGGATGAAAGATGGTAAAATTTGTAGATAACCCCAAAGATGTGAAGTTGGTTTGTGAATCATTTTAAATGAATAGGTGGTTTCCTGTGGCTTCCTCCAAAATGGCTAAGCTCGGCTTCTGGAGCAGAAACCAATGCTGTGTGTGTCTTGCCCACAGCATTCAGGTCAGGAAGGAATGGAGGCAGCATTCTTAGGCCTCGTTGGGGCCGCCCTCTTCTGGAAGGGCAGAGCTAGCTTTGAACAATTAGAGCAGAGCCATGAAGTGACTCGGGAAACACTTGGAACCATGTGGCTCTGGGAGAAAACAATTTTGACTTAGGAAAGGGATTATGTAGGAATAATGTTTGGACTTGATTTCCCCACCTCATAATCAAGAGTGAAATTTTGGATCTGTTCCCAGTTAGGCCCAGCATCTCCACAGCTTGGAAAGCTGTCTTCCAGCAGCCTCCATAGCCTTGGGCCCCGCCAGCTTTTCTGCACTGGGTCTGCTGATCATGTTGCCATAATGTGTATCAAAAAGTGTCACACAATCTTATCAGTTAAAGCAACTACCAGGTATCTAACTTGTTTAACATTGAGTTTTTGTGGGTTTTTTTTAAAAAAATTATATATATATATATACACACACACACACACACACATATATATATATATATATATATATATATATATATATATATATATATAGTTTACATTTTGAGAGGTAGCATTCTGTTTCAAATGCTTTTTGTTTTCCTGACAGTATTGTTGATTGGGTCGAAACATTTGAGCTGTGGTTTGGTGGATTTTAGATTTTTTTTTTAAAGGTCATTCTCTGTGCTATCTTCAAAACCTTGGGTTTGGCCCTCTAATTCCTTTGGCATTCAGATGTTTAAAACCTATTTATCTTGGTTTATACAAGTTTTCTTTCTCTTCTTTTGTAATGATAAAGATGTTGTTTGGCTTGCAGTCTGAAAATGAATTGATCCCCGCGTTCACCTGCTCCCTCTTCTTTCCCAAGTCCTACCATTCCCTTTGTGGGCAGTAGGAGGCGTCTCAGGGGAAGGGACTATTCCCAACCTACCTCCCCCAGGCCATGCAGAGAAGCTGAACAGTCTTATGGCACCCCAGAATAATTTGGGGTCTCCTGGAAACAAAGGTATAGGAATAAGGACTAGGCTGAATGGTGAGGCCTGGGTGAGATAGGGCAGGGTTCCTTTCCATTCCCTCATTCTCCCCTTTACTGGGTAACATCTACTCAACTTCTCTGTCTCTGTCCCTGTCCCTCTTCTGAAATGTCACAGCTGAGCAATCATCTCCCAGTCATCACCAACAACAGCATGGTGGGGGGTACTTGGAAAGATGTGAGGGGTGCTTAGAAAATCACACTGGCAGACCCCTAGACGAAAGCCTGGCCTTGTGTCCTTGTTCATTAACCACGGGGTCTTTCCTCCAGGACACTTGCCTTCTCTGAGGCTGGTGGGGTTGCAGGGCATCCGGGAAGCCAGCAGTTCTAGGAGCAGAGTACAAGAAGCAGTGCTCCGTCCTCATCTAGCTCAGGGGTCACTGGTCTGTGGCTTACCCATGAGTGGCCCCTGTGGCTGTTCTCAGTGGCACTCAAGTTTCCACTACAGGCAGCTTTTCCTCCTTCCCCCATTCCCTCCTTCACTCCTCTCCTGTGCTCTAGGCCTGAGCACCTCTTGGTAATGCTCAGGGTGTGAGACAGAGACTTGAGACTCCTGCCCCAGAGATGTTCCCCCTTCACAGTCTGCCCCGCCAATTCTGGGGTTTTCTTCATAGCCAGTCCCACCCCCTATTATCTTTTTTACCAAATCAAGTCTGGAGAGAAAAACATTAGCACTCTCTAGCATTTGAATGTTGAAGGCTAGAAGGACAGTGTGTTAACCCTCACAGCTCTGGCCTTAGACCTGTGTTCCCCTCACGTCTAGAGACCTCACTTAAAGGCAGTAATGTAGGAAGGGGGGGTCCTCAAAGGGAAGCACATTCAAACAGCTACCCCCAAATCGACCTGCCGTCTGCAAGGGGCAGTGATATGACTCTAGGCCTCCTTTGATAAATGCCACTTATGAAGAGTAGCCCTTATGGAAAAGGGAAAGGAGACTCAGCTGTTCCTTAGCAGGTCATGCTGAGATCCCAGGAAAGAGACTGGGGAAGAAATTTTTAGAACACTTGGACTTACAGCCATTTTGTGACGAGGTAGGGGCGGCAGGCCTGGGGAAAGCCCTATGCTGCTCAGCACACCACAACATCAGGTCAGATCATTGTAAACAAAAAATATGAAGTTTGGAGTCACCTTTTAGGGAAGCAGGATAAACTACCACCCCACCATGGGTGGGGCTTTTCAGCTTCCCACTGCAAGTTCATTTTTTTAAATAGGAATTTTCCACCCCCTGTGCTTGTCTAATGTCCACTCGAAACAGTTCGAGACCCCGTTACTGTTTTAAAATGCATGCATGTTAAGATGAATCTCCAACCCAAGGAAAAAATAAAACTCAAAAAGTTTTGTGTACATCTGGTACGTGTGAATCCTTTGGGAATGTCTTCCGACACATATACTCCCCCCCCCCAGAATTAAAAGTTTTGGTCCCAGTTTTAGGGGCTGCTTGGGCAAAATCAGTGTATGGCTTGAGTCTGAAGAAAGAATGTGGTCAGTGTCATTCCACTTATAGATACAACTAATAAGCAATGTTAATTAAGCAGAGTCTGGTGGTGCACACCTGTAATCCCAACAACTCTGGAGGCAGAGGCAAGAGGATTGCAAATTTGAGGCCAACCTTTGCAACTGTGAAAGCATATTTGTGTACAAACATAAAAATACTTGTTAACTAGTTTGATAAGTAATATATAAAAGTATGTAGCAGAAACATTCATCATCTCTGTGAAAGATCAATTTTATGTTTCAGATTACACCAAACAAAGCTTTAGTTTTTTTCACATCCCTTAACCAGAAATACTTGTAAAGGAAGGAGGATTCCACCCTTAGCATGGCTGTGAAAGGACTTAAATTAAGAAAACAAGTATACATTGACAAGCCTAAGTCCAGAATGAGTTCAAATATTTGGCCACATAGAATACTATCATCTTCAAGAACAGTAGTAATAGCTGGGTGCTGTGGCGCACGCCTATGATCCCAGTGGCTCCAGAGGCTGAGACAGGAAGATCGTGAGTTCAAAGCCAGCCTCAGCAAAAGCAAGGTGCTAAACAACTCAGTGAGACCCTGTCTCTAAATAAAATACAAAATGGGGCTGGGGATGTGTGGCCCAGTGGTCAAGTGCCCCCGAGTTCAATCCCCAGTACAAAAATAAATAACAGCCTTGGTAAGCAATTTTTAATACAAAAGGCATTTTGGTATTTTAGCCACTGGAAAACAAAAACTGTAGCACCAAGAAAGTTCTGAGATAGCTCACTTTTGTAGATTCCATTTAGTGTATTTAAGGTTAATTAGAGTTGACATCAACATTTTTAAAGACAGGCAAAAATTCACATTAAAACAAACCCTCCCTATGCTTCTATTTAGAGTAGGTAATATGATTCCAAGAGTTAAAAATTATTTCACAACCTATGACTTCAGCTTGGCAAACAGATTCCAAACTGATTCATCCCTATTAAAATGTAAGCTCTTAAAAAAAAAAAAAAGAATGTATCCTTGAATAGGTAGACATGTATTTTAAAAGAATCAGACAATCTTTGAAGCAGCCTTGGGTTTCCTTTAAATTGGTCTGGAAAGAACCATTATATTAGCTTCATAGAAAGGATTAACTGGCTTCTTGGTCTAAGGTTAACACGGTGATCATCTGTTTAAGGATAGAAAGGTGGGCTGGGGATGTGGCTCAAGCTGTAGCGCGCGCGCCTGGCATGTGCGCAGCACTGGGTTCGATCCTCAGCACCACATATAAATAAAGATGTTGTGTCCGCTGAAAACTAAAAAATAAATATTAAAAAATTATCTCTTAAAAAAAAAAAAAGGTACCAACATTATGTAAACCTGTAAGGAAAGAAGGAGGAGATGAGGGCTTCCCCTGGCAGTTGGGAGCTAAAACTCAAGGGATTCTTGATGGCAGCAGTTCTTGTTTCTTCTTTCTGAGTTATTTCTAGTGAGGGAAGGCATTATTTTCTTTCTTTTTTGGTACTGGGGATTGAATTCAACCCCTGAGCCACATCCCCAGCCCTTTATCTATCTATCTATCGATATATTTACATTTAGTTGTAGATGGGCATAACACCTTTATTGTATTTTTTATTTTTATGTGGTGCTGGGGATCAAACCCACTGCCTCATGCATGCTAGGCAAGCGCTCTACCACTGAGCCACAACCCAAGCCCCTCTTGGCCCTATTTTTTTTTTTTTATCTTAGAGATAGGGTCTCACTGAGTCGCTTAGCGCCTCATGGTTGCTGAGGCTGGCTTTGAATCTGTGATTCTCCTGTCTCAGCCTCCCCAGCTACTGGGATTACAGCATGCACCACTGCATCCAGCAGGGAAGACATTCTTGCTCTTGAAATTTCCTTATACCCTGGACAACTTCATGGAAATCTTGATATACATTCATCCTAATCTTTGCTGATGTTCCATTTTTGTTATTTTAGTGGCCATGCTACTTGCTGTCCTTCAGTGTTACTTGTCTTTGATGATCTAGGTCAGCTTTATTACCAATTAAAAATCACTGGATCCCTGCGTGGTGGTGCTGGCCTGTAATTCCAGCCACTTGGGAGGCTGAGGCAAGAGGATTGCAGATTCGAAGCCAGCCTCAGCAATTTTGTGAGGCCCTATGCAACTTGGTGAAACATGTCTCAAAAGAAAAAATAAAAATACTCAGTGGTAAAGCACCCAGGGTTCAATATCCAGTACCAAAAGAAAAAAAAATCATTGGAAATGCATGATCCTTTACTGAGATTTCTTCAAAACTGTCTCTGGCTGGGTGCAATGGCACATGCCTATAGTCCCAGGGGCTTAGGAGGGAGGAGAATCGTGAGTTCAAAACCAGCCTTAGCAAAAGTGAGGCACTAAGCAACTCAGACCCTGTCTCTAAATAAAATACAAAATAGGGCTGTTGGGGTGGGGTACTGGTGATATAGCTCAGTTGGTAGAGTGCTTGCCTTGCATGCACAAGGCCCTGGGTTCAACCCCAAAGGATGTGGCTCAGTGGTCGACTGCCCTGAGTTCCATCCCCAGTACAAAAACAAGACAAAAACCCCCTGCCTCTATCTATGACTGAAAAGACCTGCAGGAAGCCCTCAAGAGCCCTTGTGTACTGTTTTCCCATGGCTCCACTCTCCTTGTCCAGCTGTGTCCAAAATCTCTAGCAGGGATTTTGCTGCCAGTGATGTGTGTCGCAGTGCCCGTGGGAGGCATTCTGGGGTGGCTGTTTGGGATCCACTGTGCTAAACAAATGTCCCTTTGTTTTCTAAGGCATCTACTACAGCTTGCAAGCTGGGCTCAGGGTATCTTAGAAGACAGATAATTGACCCTAAAAAGTCAATTAAGTCAACACCTCAAGGGATGAGATCCAGTGTGTTTTGTGAACTCCCCAGGTTGATTCTAAAACTGACGCAGAAAACCTCTTGTGGGGGCTGGAGTTGTGGCTCAGTGGTAGGGTGCTCGCCTTGCACGTGCGAGACCCTGGGTTCGATCCTCAG